TAGCATCTAATTTAAAAAATATTTTTGTGAATAAATTAGGATTATTCAGTAAAATAGATACTCTCTTTTATTTTCTTTTGTTGAAGGTTTTGGTCAACTGTGGGACTCGTCGGAGGGACTCTGTCAAGATTTAGAATTGGAAGAAATGCATGAAGACCACCCTCCCCACGGTTTTTTGACCGTGGTTTTTCCCGTGGGGCATTGGACGAATGCCGGGGTGGGGACCTGGAGTGTTCTCGTGAGAGAACGATGGGTCCACGGGAGTTACCCCCTCCTTGTCCGAAGACTGGAGGCGCAACATAGAAGGCAGAAGCGTCATCCCAAGATCTTCTCGGAGGTGACCTAATAGGATACTAAAAAATGAAGCCTGGAAAGTCTAAAGCAACAGCTTAGACTAAGGCAAGAAATCATTGGTGTCCATGGTTCATCGTTAATCCGGAAGGAAGTCAGCGCTCGTTTAGTCTGTAGCAGCAGCTCAGACGAGAGCAGGAAGCTGTCTCGGGGGAAGGAACGTCTTCAGGAGCTCCCCCTATAATTGTCGGGACGACAATTAAAGGAGAAGGGGGGCAGTGTTGCGCCCGCGCTTTTGGGAGCGTATTGCTGGTTCGGTTCGAGATCGAGAGATGAGCGAGACAAGACGACGAGCGACCGGCTTGGCAACGTGTAAACAACAACAGAGATGAGATGGTCCCGAGCTGTCAAACCGATTGGACGTGCGACGCATCTCTCTGTTAATATTAGAATATTGTTAATCCTGCATCAAGAAGCTTTATAACGGCATTAAATTCCTTTCTAGTTTACTCTAATAAGTGTCTGATTTATTCCCCGCGAACGCGAACACGAGTGTGCGACAAGGCGCAACAATATATATATATATATATATATATATATATATATATATATATATATATAAAATATGCATTAGATATAATAAAATTACGTTCTAAATAGAAAACTCTTTTTGTTAATATCTTTTTAATTAACAAAAGTTGCCGACTAAAATTTGTTGGAAGTTCTCTACAATATATGTGAAGGATAAGATCATCGGCGAAGTGTCCGTTAATAAGCATAATAATCCAATCGCGAGTCACGGCACATGTATTAGCTGATTGAAATAAACGCGAAAACCGACAAGTGACGTATAATCAGATGATATATACATGAAACAATTAATCGAGTGAGAAATAAATAAGAGGCTCTTGTGAGTGACGGAGATTTTGTTTTTTGTCCGCGTTTAATTTAATATTTCGTCTATACTTTTAATTTTTTTGTACGCGTTTAAAAAAACGGATTATAGATATTGAACGACCGATTACAGTATGAAATATTTTAAATTCTAATGATTTTGTGCTTAAATCTTGTTAAACTGATAATCATGTTCTAATAAAAAATTATAAATATATAATGTTATTATTTATATCATAGATTTTGATTAAATTATTATTTTAACATAGATTTTATTATTTTTAGCATAGATTATAAAACAGTATAAACTGAAATATAAAATATACTTGCTTACGAAAAAGAGTAATATGAAATATATATTGGGGTTCAAGAAACTCCAAATTTATTTTAGATGTAAATTTTGGCGAAGTCAACAGACAACTGACTGCTTCAGCAGTTACTAGCTATTAAAGACACTCAAACTTTGTTCTCCAGGTCGTATTCTCTCCGCTTATAAATTTTACCAATTGTATAGTCTTAAAATTGGTCTGGATTTCGAAGACCTACACTCCTAGGAATATACTCCTAGGGTTAAGAAAAACAAATTTCTTTTTCGAGGAAGACATGGAATATTTTAAAGTATTTGAAATAAATTAAAGATAATCTGAAACAGATTTTCTCCACAAAGTGCCTTCTTTTTTTCATATATCATTATGGTTGATAAATATATAAATGATTCTTCTATGTAATAATTGTTAGTAATTAATTATTAATATCGATGTTTTAAGACATGGTATCGGCGAGAATATTAAGTTCCATTTTTGAGAGAAGTCATCTGATTGTACGAAATGTGTTATTTCACCGTGACATTCCTCCCTACTTAAAGCACAGCGCTTGGTTTTACACGAGGACATCTGTGAATAGGAATATCCAGCCTAACAAACAGTATAAGAAAACGAAAGATCAGAAAAATGAAAAAACCGAAGAAACTGAGAAAAATAATAAACGTGAGTTGCATTTTATTAATCTGGTTGTTACATGTGCACTGATGATATTTCATTTTCCTTTATAGTTAATTGGAGTAATAGATTGGATGGCGTTATATATATAACAATCGTAATCAGCTGTGTAGTATTTTCAACAATAATTTTCACAGCTAAATCTATGAAAAAAAAACATTCCATGTACATAAGTACTCTGCTACATTGCCGTAAGGATTCTATGATTGTGGATGTTCTTGGAGAACCTATTGAAATAGTTCCACAAAAAAACAATGTCGCACACACGTAAGTAATTTTTTCTTCTCTTCCTTTTTATAAATTATCAATCACATTCGCGATATGTAGTTCTTATCTTGCAAAGAGCGATATGTGAAGTTAATTTTTAGTAAAGTACTACATTTAATTGCTTTCTATATCTTTCTCTTAAATATGATTAAGAAATGTAATGTTTCTATTATATCCGTTTCAGTCACGATCGTCACAAGAAAGACGGCTGGTGTTATGAAAAATTCACGTTTGACATAGCAGGACCGAAAACACGGGCACTGGTGGAGGCCGAACTGAAGCAGGTGAATTTACTAATCTCGAAACTCGTAACTGCAAAAACAATACAAACATAAAGACAATATTTACACGCTTTTATTTGCGATTTTCATTTGTAGATTACGGATAACGAATATAAGTATACGAAATTGCATGTTACGGTGCCTAAAGTCGGAACATTTGAAATGAAGCCTGACTCGGTATATTTGAAAGAAGATTACTCGAAATATTTGAGAATTCAAGTTTAATTGTTTTGGGATCGCTGTTCTATGACTAGTAATTATCGTATAATATATAATTATGTGCTTGTTATTTTTTATATTTATATATAATATTATATGAATATATAATATATATGATATAATATATAATATGTATGAATATATCATATTATATATTCATATAAGTATAAAAGTAATAATAATAATAATTTTATTAATTATTGTTATTAATATTACTATTACTTTTTATTTATATCATGTTTTGGATTATTCGAGTGAATGTTACTGCTATTTGGAGTAAACTTTTCTTTTTTTGTTCTGATAACAGTACATCAGTTATATCAGATTTACTATTCAATATTGCATGAAAGTATTTACTTGAAAAGTAACTTTGTTTCACTTTCGAGAGAAAAATTAACTCTATATAAATAAAAGTCATTTGATTTTGTATGAATTGCTTGTCACTTTACTTTTTGAATGGAATTTTATTTGCAGAAATTTAAAGAGTATGATTATATTTTATTTGTGACTCTTTTTTACTAAAAGATTGATATACTGTTCACTTTAAAACATATTTCTTATTATATTTTTTATTATTTTGATGAAAGTAACGGGAGATTTCAGAGTATAGATTAATCATTATCTTTTAAGGAGTTGTAAAAATTAATTAAATTTTAATAAAAATGTGATTATCATCGTAATTTGTATGTTTTTTTCCCTTCTTTGTTCTTTTGAATAATTCTTACAATTACAATTACAATTACAATTCTTATTTGTTTCGGAAAACTTATGTGTTTATAATTTATGGTCTAAATTCAATTGAGAGACGACGAATTTAAACATCACGCGCAATAGTACATGCATCGTGTTTATCACAACAAAAGAATTATGTTGCAAAGTTTGAAAAAAAAATATATATATATTACCAATAAAATTATAAATCCAGCATTGCATAGAATACCTAGACGTTAGTATATGAAATATTTAGGCATCATACAGTGTGTCCCAGAACATCCTTCAAAAATCTCGTGGTGACAGTATGGATTAAGGTAAACATAAAAGTCCTGTTTTGTGATATTTGCAATAACACAGGTCTACAAGGTTTGGTTGATTAAGATTGAAGTCATTTACGACGTATTTTTTCATGCTGAATTCGAAACCGGGTTACACGACATTTTCCCGTTGTACTAGGCACACGTTGTATCAAATCCAAAATGACAGACCAAAATACAAAAGAATGACACTAGCCACTGTGACGTGGCGGCCCGAAGGTGCCCGTCACAAAGGCAGGACGGCTCCGTTCGTTCGATTGTGCGCATACCGGGCGTGGTTGCATAACGCTCTCGTATTCTTTTTCGCGACGGATCGACGGTTTTTCGCGGTTCTATTAGCCGAGCTTAGAGGCATCTGTTTGTGAAGCGAATGCGGTCTCTCAAGTGGGAGGGTTAGCGCGTCCCCGAAAATGTGCCCCAACTCACTTCGCCGACCACGAAGGGAAGAGACCACAGGACTCCGAGGGAACGAGAAGGAAGAAGGAACATCATCGCTCTCCAGGAAAGTCGCTGTTTAAATGGTACGTGGGTAACGATACTTTAACTCTCGTCACACAAGAACGTGTTACCGTTCCGACCTCGGTTGTCGCTGGCGATGTTTATTTACAGCAACACTGCTAGACGAGGGAAGGAGAGGTGCGAATCGGAACCTCCAGCTGACGACGACCGACAGCCAGGCAGGTGCCGCGGAAAACAATGAGATCCCAGCGAGGGGGGGG